CCGCTGCAGCAGGACCCCCATGCACCCCTGTATCCAGGACTGGAACCCTCCCAAACCCCCCATCCTCACACCCTAGGACCCCCCGCAGCCGAGCCAGGGACCGGCCTGGCCCGGCAGGCCCCGCTGTACAAGGCTCAGCGAGCCCTCCCAGGGCTCTCCCACTGCAGAGGTCAATCAGGGAGAAGTGCCAACTGACCAGCCCTGCTGGGGAGATGTGTATCCAAAATGAGAATGGATCCCCCAAAACCACAGCTCTTCCTTTTAAACAGAAAAGGGGGAGATGTTGTGGTGTGATTTTGTTTAATTTAAAGTTGTTTCTATAAGTGGTTTACTCTGTTACCCCCCTGCTTTGTTGGTTTAACCCAAAGTTATCTCCTCCCCTGCCCATCATTGTATCCCAACCCCTTTTTCCAGTACCTTCCCTATCAATCTTGTCCACCCTGCCCCTTGTTCCCAAATGTTCCCTGTCAATCCTGCCTTATGCCAACCCCCTGCTTGGACGTCCCCTTTGGAAATCCCCTAATCCACAGCACCCCATTGGTCCATGTGTCCTATTCCCCTCCCCAGGATATCCCTCACTGGTTGAAGTTTTGTATCCACCCCTGGGCCCCCCCCATATATAAATTGCTGTACGCTTGTATTCTGTGTCTTTTGTCCCTGGATCCTTGGGAGACTAAACCTTTCCCTGAACCCCAATATAAAAGACCTTCCCCCCATTCTTGCCTCCACACTGTGTCTGACAGCTGTTAAGTGCTGTAGAGCATTGCTCTAAGCCACATCTCGGGTCATCCTGCTCCAGAGGTGTGTTCCACTCCTGGTGTGGAGCTGAGGAAGAGCTGACCGGCCTTGGCACCATTTCACACCCAGCTGATCCCATTGTGCCCAATCTCTCCGAGCGCCCACCCCAGCATGTCCATCTCGCTGGTGCCCTTGAGCTGGAGCCAGCAGCTCCTGGTGCTGCTGGAAACCGCCCCCGGCAATGCGGGCTCAGCTCCAGCTGCCAGGTGGAGCACGGCAGCCTGGAGCACCCCCTGAGCCGGCACTGGGGCACGGCCCGGCCCCCACAGCGCCGGGGGCAGCGGGGGAGGCACTGGGGGGGCCCAGAGGGGGATTGGGCTGTGCTGGGAGGAACTGGGAGGGAGTTTGAGATAGACTGGTTTAAACTGGGGAAGGGATTGAGGTGCTTAGGATGGCTGGGAAGGGGTTTGAAGAATGTTGGGGAGGGTGGGATGGGGTTCTGGGGGTCCTGGTGGACCCTGGGAGGGAGTTTGGGGGTGCTGGGTGTCACTGGGAGGGATTTGAGTGAGCCTGGAGGGGCTGGAAGGAGATTGGGGATTGGAAAGCAGGGATTGGGATGAGGTTGGTTGTGCTGGAAAGAGACTGGGAGGAGTCTTGATGAGTCCTGGTGGGCCTGGGAAGGGACTGGGAGAGGGTTTGGGGGTCCAGGGGCAGTGGGGAGAAATTGGGAGGGGGCTGTGGGATCCTGAGAGGAACAGGAGGGGCTCTGCTGGGTCCTGGGGAGGCTGGGAAGAGACTGGCAGTGATTTACCAAAATAGCAATATTGATCCAGTATCAACATCAATCTGTTAATGGACAAAAAACCTCTCCAACAGTTTAAAGTTACAAAGTGGATGTTTAATCACAGCACTGGGCGAGGGCGGGAGTCACCCCTTAATACGCACTGCAAGTTGACAAAAGATTCCAGTGTCTATTTATTTACAAAAGTCTTAAATATCCAAAATACTAATACATATTAATACTAATGCATATGCATAATGCTAACACCTCCCATGTTCCTCTTCAGATTAGAATTCATGGTAATGATTTTAAAAAGTCATTACACCTGCATGGTTGGCTCCCTAATTTGAGGAGGGGGTCGTTTTGGTGTGGAGGGTTCATCAGGAGATGAAGGAAAACCGCTCTTCCTCACTCTCACCTTCTACCTTTACAATGGTTGACATTACAAATGACATTTGGTACAACTCCAGTTTCCTCCCTTGTGACTTGGAAATGGGTTTCCAGATGTAAGGTCTGTGATCTTCCTGAACCCGTTTATCAGTTTCTCTTTTCTCATTATAAGCACATCTGAACAAACATACAATGAAAAGTAATTTTTTATCTAAGTCCGAGATTCATTATCTCAAATCCTGCTTTTCCCTTCATCATTAACTCTGAACTAGTTCCAGCAAGGCCTATCTCTAGCCAAGATCCCTAATTTTTCTAAAATTCTTAATTGTTTAAAATTAGTGACTCCAAAGGAGGTTTCAGAGGGTCTTGGGTCGGCTGGGAGAGACTGGGAGGGTCCTTGGAGGGGCTTGGGGTGTCTGTGAGAGGTTTTGGGGGTCCTGACCTCTGCAGATGCCCCAGGGATGCCATGAAACACTGCCCACAGCAAGATGCTGACGGGGATTGGAGTCTCAGTGTTGGGCTTCGTCTTCTTGGCACTGGGGCTCGGCTTCTGCCTGCGCAGGAAGGTGAGGGAGGGTTCTGGGGTCGTGTCTCCCTCACCCAGAGCGTTTGTGCTCCCCTCTGGGCCCCCGAGCCCGGTGTCACCCCCTTTTCTCTGCCCACACAGCTCCTGAGGCAAAAGGTTCCAAGGATTGAAAGTCAACAATTCCCATTGTCATTCTGTATCCTGTTGAATTTTCATTCCCCTGCTTTCATCCAGGTGCCCACAGGGAGCCAGGAAGATGTGGAGCCTCCCAGCCAGGTGTCTTCCCAACACGGATCACCAGGACCACGGATCACCAGGGCTCTGCCCAACGGGGGTCACTGGGGATCATCCAACGCCCATCCTCCCATGGGGGATGGAGCTGGAGCAGCGCACGAAGCTCTTCCCGCACTCGGGGCACTCGCAGGGCTTCCCTTACTGGTGCCTCCGTTGGTGTTGGGTCAAGTGAGAGCTCTGTGAGAAGCTCTTCCCACACTGGGGACACTCGTAGGGCCTCTCCCCAGTGTGGATGCGCCGGTGCCTGATGAGGTTGGAGTTGTGCTTGAAGCCCTTCCCGCAGTCGGGGCAGCGGAAGGGCCTCTCCTCTGTGTGAATCCGCTCATGTAGGAGGACAGTGGAGCTGGTCTGAAACCTCTTCCCACACTGGGGACACTCGTAGGGCCTCTCCCCAGTGTGGATGAGCTGGTGTGCCCTCAGACTGGAGCTCCACCCAAAGCTCTTCCCACATTCCAAGCAGGTGTAGGGCCGTTCCCCTGTGTGGATCACCTGGTGTCTCATCAGGTCAGAGATACTTCTGAAGCTCTTCCCACATTTCCCACACTCATAGGGCCGTTCCCCAGTGTGGATCCTCTGGTGTTTCATCAGGTTGGAGCCCCGGTTGAAGCTCTTCCCACATTCCCCACACTCATAGGGTGTTCTCTCATGTGGATCTTCTGGTGATTCCGCAGGCTGAAGCTCTGGCTGAAGCTCTTCCCACATTCCTCACACCCATAGGGCTTTTCACCATGTGGATCCTCTGGTCAGAGCTCTTTCTGAAGCCCTTCCCGCATTCCAAGCACTTGTGGGGCTTCTCCCCCAGCTCTGAGCTCCGGCTGGATCTCTGGCCGTGTTCCTGGCACTGGGGGGATCTTTCCTCCTCGGAGCTCCCTGGACTGGGTTTGCAGCCCATCCTCATGCGGGATCTCTGGGGCTTTTTCTCCTCCTCTTCCATCTGGACACAGTTTGGGAATGAAAATTCCAGATTAGGAGAAAGAAAGAGAGGAGAGCGCTTTGGGCTGGGGGTTCCTCCTTGCCCAAGGTCATCTCAGAAAGTCACTGGGCATCTTGTGTCTGTAACAAACCAAAATACCAAGATTCAGCCCAGACATCCTCCAAATATCAAAACAAAGATGACAAACTAGCCAAACACCAAATTCAGGCAAAACTCCCTGCAGAAGAGAAAGATTCAGCCCCTGCAAAAAGACAAAGCACCAACATTTAGCCCAATAAAGCTCAGAAACACCAAGGTTCAGCCCTGTGAAAACTGCGGATCCCGCTCCTCAATCACCTGCTGACTGTGGGCAGGGCAACACTCCTGGAACTGCATATATAGGGAGGGAGGAACCTTGTGCTGCTTCCTCTTCCTGCTCTTCCTCCTCCTGTGGCCCTTCTCTTCCTCACACTCCTCTTCCTCCTATGCCTGCACAATCCCACCTTCTCCTCCCACGTGCATCCTTTGACCATTTTGTTCCTCAACCTTGCTTCTCCTTCCCTTCTCCTCCTGCCCCCAGGCCCAGCACCCACTGCCGCCTCCCTCTTCCCCCCCAGTCCCACAGCATCCCACCGCAGGGGCACGGATGCAGCTGGGCCAGCTCGGCCTGGGGCAGCGCTGGGCTCTCGGCCGCTTCCACCCGCACTCGCTCCCCACTGCAGCCGCTCCCGCCACCACAGCGCGGGGGG